TGAGAAGTGGCAAGGGAAACACATGTACTCGGATAAAACGTGCCCCATTGCCACTTTTTCTACCAAAAATTCCCTATTACCCGACCTGGGATCAGACCCTGGTTACCGTGGTGGGAAGGCCGCGAGTGACTGCCTGAGCTGTGGCACAGCCCCTAATTTCTGGGCTTCTACCCGGGACCTTGTATTCGCTAGACTAATATGTTAGGGATCGATCCATCTGATCACCCTCTTCCGTGTCTGAAATCCATTTGTTTAATAAAAGTAACGCTGTCCATAATTTATGCTAACCGTCTTAAAACTTTTCAGGATTCGTTTTAATGTTTAAAATCTATTATTATACATGACGAATATATATTTTAGTCATTTTAGTATGAAGACATCAGGGCATGCAATGCAGTAATTAGACGTACATATAGAAAACGCACGTGAAGATGGCACGTTAGTGCTGAAACATGTAGTGCAAAAGAGAAGAGTAAGGTGAAAAAGTGTATGCACTGTAAGACGGTTAGCATAAATCATGGACATGAGTCAGTGCAACAGGACGCTAAAACATAACATTATTAAAAGTAACGCTTTTGAATTTTTTTTGTATTCATAACTGGGCTACAAATAAAAGTGTATTTTTACAGTTTCCACGTAAAAAGTAGTGCCTCATTGTAGATTTGTCATTTTCTTCATGGCTTATTTAAATATTGTTATAGTACCTCAAAACAGGCGCCTTTCCACAGGACAATTTTTAGCGTAGGCCCTGTACATTCTTGAGTTAGGAAAGCACATTTTCAGCCCAGCCATGTGTTGCGGTGCTAGGTCCGAGGGTCAGCAGGGTCGAGAAAGAGAGAATTGGAGCTATTAATCGGCCAATTTTCATTTTATTTTCTTATAATAACTACTATAGAGTTTGGGGTGAGAACATTAGTTAAAAATGTATTTTCGAAATGAGCCTGATGATGGCTGAATGAGCCGAAAGACATTTCTTATTGAATCTATATTATAATAATTTATTCCCTCGGCTTCATTAATTAATCAACAAGCCGTGGAGATGTATTAAGAACTGGAGGAATAGCTCCATCATTCTTAACCTCGGTGCTAGCTGAAGGTGAGTGGTCAGTTTCACGGTCAGACCGCTTTACACCCGGGGAAGGAGACCCGGTATTCATTGTATAAGATATTATGTGAACCCCAGAGATGGTCTGCGCGTTATGGAGAACAGAAAATTCTCTTGCCCCTGCCGAGAATCGAACACCATCTCCTCGGTCGTACAATCCTTTTTCTTAAATTCGCATAGTGGGAGGCGGAGTCCAGCTGGGTCCACTGGTCACGTCGGCCACTGAATGGCCTATTCTACCTGCCCGGGGTAATTATGGTGATGGAGAATTTGGTGGAATGAAGATTGGCAGGGGAAACTGAAGTATTTGGAGAAAACCTACCCCAGCGCCACTTTGTGCACCACAAATCCCACCTGACCAGACCCCGGGCTCGAACCCGGACCGCTGCGGTAGGAAGCCAGCGACTAACCGCTTGAGCTATGGCGCTGTCTTCGTCCAACCCTTAGCCTACTAGCTATACTGACTGAGCTATTCCGGCTCCCATAATATATAAAGAACAGAGAAATAAAAGGAGATGATAAGGCGTGAATAAGGCGAAGTTATCATTGCAAAGATTTCTTAGCACGCCACTAAACACTGATCCAGGGCCAGTAATCCATGTATATTTATCACAGACACAAATCGAGCCTTTACCACTTCTAAAAATTGTTGTGTTAATAGTATGTGTCTGGTGTTACAGGCTTCAAGTAATTATCCACTCGCGCATTCATCCCGCTCTGAATGATTTATCACAGGAGAATCATTTAAAAAATTACTCAAAATTCGTACGAACAATTATGAAGCGAGCCTTAACAACAGCAAACTAGCTCCCGGTTACGTAAACGGACTTTGTTGGCATTAAGTACGCAACTAACGAGGCTAATATTCGGGTTCTAAATAGAAATACACATGTCGGTAAGGCTATGTAATATGATGGAAGATGAAATACGCACATCTGGTTTCAATTTGCGAAGTTTCAATACAAGTTTCCTTACTGAACCAACCTGAAGGGACTCAATAACGAAGGAACCAACCAGGAAATTAACCGAGCTACCAGCCCCGACCAACAAACTGACCAATCGTTCACATAAATTCACTGACCAGCCAGAAAAATTTGAGATTTGAGATTTGAGATTTTCAAAGAGGTGAGAAATTGGATTGTAGTCTCTTGAGGGTCTGTAAAGCCTAGGTATTTAGGTGGTTGCCGATGTATCGGAGGGACCTGCTGCCTCTGTCTCCTACTCAGAAGACGGAATCAGCAATTTTAGATTGTGGTCTTCTTAGTTTATGACATCATATATCAATGGACAGGACGTTTCGAAGGAATCTGTTGTCTCTATCTTAGCTCAGATGATGAAATTCTTGGATTTAAATTGTGCTGGCTTTCTGGGTTTTAACGTCGTGTAACCAGCGTTTCTGAGAAACCAGATACCTCCACATTCTGCCCGAAAATGCAGACAGCAGACTCTTTTAAAACAAGGATAACTGCGTACAAGGCTTGGCAATGTCAACATTCAGAAGACAATTCTCTGACCACAAAAAGTAAACAACTACCAATTGTAAATCTTGCAGCGAGCTCTATCCTAAGGCGATTCAGCTTAATTTGCTTTCTCAGAACTTACTGACCAGGGCTTAATTTATGCAGGAACTGTCGGAAACAAAGTTCCAGTTTTCTGCTTTTCTCTTTTTAAAGGAAGCGAAATTTATATGGTCATATTTCACAGTTGAGCAAGAAGTTCTGGGAAGAACTTATTATCTATTGTCTTTTCACTACACACTGAGAATTTAACGCTATACGGACCGTATAGAAAACATCGCGTTCAACAGCACTTCCATTGTTGACAAAAAGTTCAAGTCTTTTCCGTCTGACTTTTTCACGCAGCCTTTTCAGTACCTCCAGATAGTTAATTTGGTATGCCAGAGTCATCAAACCATACTGAGGTTTCTGTCAACGGCAAGCATACGATGGTGAGTTCGCGAACTTTACTGTCATACCTCGTATCCGTCATATCTATTTAAAAAACTTCCACAGCCAACCGTAGACCTCTATAACCGTGCCACAATGGCCATACCATCATAATATATAATTCAATTAAATGAAACCTCTCACACTGGGGGGCAGAAAACACTTTATTCCGCCGCCAATTCTGTTGGCGGCCAACTATTCGACTCTGCCGTGCGGTGGTCATAGCTCACGGAATGGAGCATGATGAAATGATAATTGGAGGGTTGACATTGAAATATTCAGAGATAAATCTGCCTTAGTTCCACTTTGTCCACTATAAATTCCACACGGGCTGCTCTTGGGTTGAACCCGGGACTCCGCGGTGAGAAACCGACCAAGTTTTATCTGAGTACTAACTCCTAGAACGCTTGAAGATTACTAAGAAGATTGTATAACTGTAGCCAGGCCTATCGTTCTTAATTGCAGCATCTCTACCTGTGATCTGACCCATGCCATATGTGATTTAATTTCTATTCGCACAAGTGAGCTGTTTGCCTGTCATACTTTTCGCTTGAAGATCTTTCCCGCTTGAGACCACTCCAGGTCAAGGTTTGTGGACCTGTGGGATGACAGTGGAGTGACTCGTCAAAACGGAGGGCAAATGCAGCTATAGAATTAACGAAATTTATATACGTACGAGTAGATACATATTTTTAAAATAATTCTAATGATTTTTTCACGTGATACAACTCTTTAATGAACCGTCACAACACAGCAAATAGTAAAACATCAAAGTCAGCGTTCAGCTGTGGCTTTGCTACATGTTTCGGCCACTATCGGCCATCATCAGGCAAATACATATCAACAAAAATCTACCATTTAACTGCAATCATAAAATGGATATAAAACTATTAATCGTACAAATTTAAAAATGCTTATGTAAAAAATACAAAAGTTCAGATTATATAAAAATTAAAAATTGGAAGTATTATAACAAGATAAAATATTAATGATGTTTTCAAAAACATTGAATCAGTCGTTGGATATACCTTGTGTGCGTTTCCATAGACATTAGGGAAATTCGATATTACTTTATATAGAAGATTTTAAGAGAGGCCCATGGTGTAGCAATTAATGAATTGTGTAATGCTGCCTCGTCATTAAGAAGAATTGTCCGTATTGCATGGAAAGCAAACAACGATATTTTAAATGCCGAAGAGCTGTAGGAGTAAAAACTGCACGCTTTAAGAAAGATAAGTGAAAGTAAAAGTAAAGCTATCCCTGTAACAGGCCGTGAAGGCCCATGGGGTTGTGAGATGTCGAGGCTCCCACATTTTCTAGACAATCGGCTCACAGATGGCGGTGAAGTTGTCAGCCTTACGCGCCGGCCGCCTTTTAACCCCAAGAACATTCCTGGTACTCATTTCTGTTAGAGGCTGAGCCGACCCCAGGGCCATAGTGCTGCAAGGAAGATAAGTAAGTAGAACACGAAATTAAGATGTAAAAGGTAAAGGCATCCCTCCGATAGGCCATGGAGGTCCATAGGGTTGTGAGACCTCCAGTCTCCCACATTTTCTACACAGTCGGCTCACATATGGCGATAAGGTTGTCAGCCTTATGCTCCGGCCGCCCTTTACCCCCGGAAAGATTCCTGGCACTCATTTCTGTTCGAGGCTGGGTCGATCCCAGGACCATAGTCGACTGGAAGGATGGTATCAATTGAAAAATCCAATAAGATCGGGATTCTAACCGGCCACCTTCCGGCTTGTAGCACAGTGCCTCAACCAACTACGCTACCGCGTGCCCCTGAACACGAAGTTGCGACATTGGTCGAATGGTGGTGGTTAAAATATTGGCAACGACTTAGATCAGTCGCATAACAAGTTCTGGAACGCTTGAAAAAAAAGGGGAAGGAAAAAAGAAATGAAAAGAACCAAGCTTAACCAGTGTTACTTGTTCTTTGTGTCCGGTTGCACGCATGTTTTTAGAACTTGCCTTTCAACTTAACGTCGGTTAACTGAAAAACGGCTTCGGTAACTTTCCTAACTCCACCTGTTTACGTACACATTTTGCACTGTATCTCAGCAATTCGCCTTGAAGCGGCACAGGAATTGTTGACGTGGAAGTAAATCCTCAGGTATTCTATACCACGGTACTAGATATAGGTCAGTTGTCAGCTTCACTTCCAGCCGCTGTAACTGCAGAGGCTGTTTGGGTTCCAGAGCCGAGCTAGGCGTGTTTACGGAGAGAAGTATTCCGTATCTGCCTGGCACCAACCCCGTCCATCATCTGTCGTTACTCACTCAGGTAACAGCTATTAAATTTCCAAAAGTGCATGAATAAAATCAAATGTAGGAAACAGATACGAGTATAAGGTTTTATACAAGACACCAGAAGTTTGGTGGTTCGTCAAAATGATAACCGGACCGCTGCAAACTCGTGACGAGGTTTTCCAGCTTCGCACTTCGATATTTTTTATTCATTTATTAAGCAATCAGAATCTACAATTCTATAAGCTAGTTTATTGGAGTAAGAGCTGTGATGCTCTTTAATGACGTGACGATTCCCTTTCTCCAGTGGGAGGTTCCTCTTAGTTTTCTTTTAGATCGGCTGGCCAGTATCTTCGGAGTCTTCGATTGTGCTGCGGTTCAACGAGTGGCTGTAGGATGTCGTTTGGGTGATTTGCTAGTTTGCTGTGGTGTGTGGTACTTTTTTTCTCTGATGACGTCCTTGATGTATGGTATATTTAGATCTGTATGTAACGTTTCGTTGGTGTTTCTTAGACTTTCTATTTATTTATTCGAGATACAGGTCCATTATAGCAGATTTAGNGAGAGGAGGGGGGTTCTCAGTCGCGCAACATGTTACAATATAATTACAAAGCGACTATGTCACAGATATTATTACACGGGACAGAAGTTATTTTGAATGTTAGAAGGAAAAGTTGTAGGCCTTAATAAGATACTAAGCCGCATGTTATTGTCATGTCATGCACTTCGAAATATTTTATTATAAAATGGATATTTAAGGACTTGAATTTCATGAATTTTTGAAGTAATATTAAATTGATGCAAATTGAAATTAAATATGGGTGCCACGTTCTAGTGAAAGATACTAAATTTTAGCGAAATATTTTCGGACGCTGAACATACTAATCCACGCAGTCGAAATCCTTTATGAACATTAATTTGGGGCAGTTTGTACAAACAATTTGTCATATAGGCTACTGTGGGAAACTTCCCAATAGGCTTGATAGAGACGTTACATTCACTGTTCGAATGGTGGACTTAAATTTGATCTTATCAAGCAAATTCGAGAATATCTGACAGAAATCACAGGACCATTTCGTCCCTTGATTTTCCGAACCATCCTCAGTTGAAATTTAAAGACACATGAAATTTGCGTTGGTCTGTTCAAATTCGAATTGACTGCCCTTTTCTCACGCTCCTGCCATAAAGTTTATAGACCTCGACAAAACCCTGTCGTGACACCTTTCTTTCAGCTCAGTCCTGCCTTCAGACTGCGAACACTGACAGATAGACGTTTGTTGCGAGGTGACCCAGCATCAGTTTGTACCCTGTGTGATGTTCCTCTTGCAGTTTTACACATCCTGTAACAATGCACGACGACGTCTCTGGTATAGTGGTCAGAGTTCCTGCCTACAAATCCAGAGGTCCCTGGTTCGATTCCCGGCGCTACCAGATTTTCTGAGAAGTAGTGGGTCTAGAACGGGGTCCACTCTGCCTCGTGAGAATAATGGAGCAGCTATTTCAAGGAAATAGCGGCTCCGGTCTAGAAAACCGAAATTAACGGCCGTGGGGATTCGTTGCGCTGACCACGCGACACCCTATATCCGCTAATGTTGGGACTAACTTCGCCGACAAGCGGCGGTCGCTCGGCGGACTACAGGTCACAGGTTTTATTTATTTTTGTAGGAATGCACACGTTACGGGAACTCTGAGCACTGAAGCAGTAAAGATAATCCCATTGTTAGGAGCCGCAAATGAGTGATCAGTACGTGAAGACATAGCAGACTGGGAAGATTTGGAATGTTTTGCAGTTGCCTGTAGATCGTGCAGAATAGTGAAAATGCTCTAATTGTCTGTAAGGTAAAGTTGTCCCTGTGCTTAACTAATTAGGAAATACGCCATGAAGACGTATGGGGGTGTATGTATAGATCCATGTGTTTTTTTTTACCTCGGCACTAGTTGGAGGTGAGTTGTTAGCTTCACTCTCTCACCGTTTTACCCCAGGGGGAGAAACATCAGGTCCTCATTGGCTAGGAGGCTTGGTGAGGCCTAGGGATGGGCTGGACGACTTGGAGAAGAGAAAAATCTCGTCCCTACCGGTACTAAAATTCCGACTCCTCGTCTGTTCAGGTCGTAGCCGGACGCTATACCTCAATCTAGTGCCGAGGTCAAGCATGGTTGCCGTAATATGTGGTCTCAAATGAAATCCGTAATCAATCCAAACCCCATGCCTAGTGAATAACACGAGAGGTTCTCCTTTTTGTTCAATTGTGTGGTCGGGATTAGCACAGGATTGTGGACGCAACAGTTTCTTACGCAGGTTTTTTTTTTCATTTAACGAGCACCGCTTAATCGATGCCTAATAAAGCAGCTCTATTTCTTTTAAATGTTCACGCTTTTGGTTCACGAAAGCGATTTGGAAGCCGCTAATGTATATTCGTTAGGATTTCCGCTCTGTGTTCGGTGACGATTAAGACAAGTTCGTTTTCTTCTTTCAAGGATGAATAGAAGGTAAACACGTGGCCTTCTAAGGGACAAATAATATTTTGTTCCTTCTGGTTCACTGGTACTGGGCTCCAACAACAAATGCTGTTATTGACGTTGTAATTATAGTGATGCTATTGTATTTACACCCAGTCATATGCATTCACGCGCATTCTGTCTCATGCTGAAATAAGTATATTGCTTATTCATTATAACACCCTTACGAATACAATTATGTTCTCGTAGACAAACATGCGTTTTTATGTTGTTATATGGTGCCACGGTCACTTGCTGCATTAAACTTTTGTCTAGTAGCGACATGGCGCTGGACAGACATTGGATATTACAATGCGAATGTAACTACATCACCAAGACGGAGTCAAAGAGACATCGTAGAAGTGCAGGATTTTATGCAGCCTATAGGCCTAAAGGAGACCGCCTCTGTGGTCTAATGATCAGTGGGCCTGGCTACAGATCCAGAGGTCCCGGGTTCGATTCCCGGCGCTATCAGATTTTCTGAGAAGTAGTGGGTCTGGAATGTTGTCCACTTAGCCTCGTGAGGATAATTAAGGAGATATTTCAAGGAAATAGCGGCTCCGGTTTAGAAAACCGAGATTAACGGCCGTGGGGATGCGTTGCGCTGACCACGTGACACCCACTATCAGCTAAAATTTTGCACTAACTTCGCTGATAAGCGGCAGTCGATCGGTCGGTATAGTTGCTTGCGGACTACAGGCGAAGGAGTGTAGGCCTAAAGGATACACATATACATATACAGGTACATATGTATATATGAAAATATAAGACATCTGTCGATCAAAAGCGACATGACTGGAACAGGATTCCTGGTTTACTAGGACAAGAATACGCCGATCAGAATGGTCGCGCGGTTTAAGGCATGAACTGTCTTCGCCCGCTCAAACATTGGGATCGTTGGTTAGAATCCAATTCGAGACATTGATGTCTGTCTGCGTTTCTTCTCTGTGTTGCTCTGTGTAGGTGGCGGCCTTGCAACAGGCTGGCCACAAGTCTAAGGAATCCTAAGAACTACCCAAAGATTCATATTTCCAGAGTAGTTCTGACGGGAAACAGGCCAGAGGGTGTAATATGAAAGGTAAAAGGAGAAGATAAACAACCTAGCTTGCTGCAACAGGCTACACTATGTTAGAAGACTTGAAAGCGGAGAATAAGAGATAGGATTCGATAAAGCACTTGTTTAGAAACATTATGGGAAATGAACAAATCTTTGGGCAAGGTGGTAAATTGAAAAGAAAATACGATAACTTAATTAAAGTTTCATGAAATGACATTTAACGTGATGAAGTAAACATGCAAACAGATTTCCAAGCAAAACTGCAGCTATAACTTTTTTTTTTTAAGTTTCTTACAGGTGGGGTGAGACTGAGTCCACTTGGTACATCGGCCATTAATTGGCCGATTGTACCAGCCCTGGTTGATAGATGATGATGAATGTGGAGCAGTCGGTGGACTGAGAATTAGCAGTGGGAAACCGAAGTACTCGGAGAAAAACTGCACCAGCGTCACTTTGTCCACCAAAAATCCCACATGACCTGACCTGGTCTGGAAACCCGGCAGCCGCTGTGGGAAGCCAGCAACTAACTTTCTGAGCTATAACACTGCCTCTGAACAAAGTTAATAAATGTTCGCTTCTGTTTGCATTTTTACCGTCTGTTTGCAAATCCTGTAGCGTCTAGGTGACATAGTAAAACCTGACCCCCATGTCGAACGTAACGGAAGTTGGACATTAGGTGCTACATTTATTACAAAGAACAAAGGATTCCAGACAAGCGGCAGTACAACCTCCGCTTGAGTTATGCAGTACATTAATAAAGTACGCCAGGTTAATTATCCATTTACAAGGTACAATACAGCTCTCTGTATATTAAACGTCATAAACTGTTAAATTAAGAAACATAAATTATCGGCAAATATTCCTTACATAAAGCAGTGCTTATGAAAGCTCAGATGCATGAAAAATGAAGGCCCTGGGGGATAGCTGTATGACGTGAATATGAGGAGATCCGGGATCCAATCTCTAAAGCAACATTGTTCTCTTGTGCAGAATGTTTTCTTGGTTCAAAAAGAGGAATTAAAAGTTGAATACAAACATCTAAAATGTTTGCCTTTGATGTGACTGCGTGAGCTGAGAGATTATGACATTACCGATGATTGTGTGGGGGTACACGAAATACTTCAAGAAGTTGGAATAAAACCAGCAATAGCATACTTATTGTCGTACAAGTATGATTTTTAGGCACATTTTTAAACAAAGTCAAGATATTATTAGCACTGGGCTAGAAAAATATTACTTCCTGTTATCTACACGAATTCCATAGTTAAGATACTATATATCCTGCACTTCCTTTCATTTCATTGAAATACTGTGTATGGATTGCTTTGGTTGAAAAGATGAAGCAACAAGGATAGGTCTGGAGAACTAATTGTCTTACTTTCCTTTGATACGACCCGGACGGCATAGAAAACGGTGTGTCAAATGTATGTATTCCATAAAGTAAAGTAAAGCTATCTCTGTACCAGGCCGTGCAAACCCAT